CCACAGCGCCACACAAATGTCTCAGACAGTGTTAAAGGCAATCTATGGTTCTATATCACACAAGGAATTTAAAAGAAGGAAAACAAAATCACATGAACTGGTGCTGAAGGGTTTGCACAGAATTTGGAAAGCCAGAGAGGAACAGGGAGGGCAGTGCAACCTGCAGAGGCCCAGCCTGAGCAAAGGGGTGGGAGATGAGCCTGACCAAAGAAGGGTCTTGGTCCCATACCAGAAGTGCAGCCACCAGGTTTGGCTTTCACATAACTTGTTGTTGTTGTTGTTGTTAAGTGCCATCAAGTCGATTCTGACTCATAGTGACACCTGAGAACAGATGGTGGATAACTTTTGACTAACCCTCGTGTAATACCAGAAACAGCATCAGAACTACTTGATAAGGAATTCAAAAGAATGCTTTTTAGGCATCTTGAGTGGATTGAAAGACAACTGCAAATGAAATCAAGGAAAACAGACAAAACTATAGAAGAATTCTAATAACATTGACAAAAGAAGTGAAAAATGGAACCTACAAAAGCAGCAATTAGAAAGCCAGAAGTTTAACACTAAGACTTTAGAAATCACTTACACATTGAAAGGGCAAAACAGTAGAACTGAATCATCAGGAGACCAAATTACTGAGCTTAAAGAAAAATCTCTCAATATTCATCTGTTAGAGGAACAATCTGAAAAAAGAACAAAAAAAATTTCAAAAAACAAACCTGTAAAATTTAGGTGGGGCACTATCAAAAATAATTTATGTGTGAGTGGAATTCCAGAGCAGGATGAGTCAATACAAACATATAGAAGATTGTCTAAAAGTTGGACTATATTATAATCAAACTTTCAAAACCAAAGACAAGGAAAGAATCCTAAGAGCAGCTCAAGAAAAATGAAAAGTTACCAAAAAGGAAAACCAATAAGACTAAGTAGTAATTTTTCAGCAGAAACCATGCAGGCAAGAAGATAAAGGAATGACATACATAAAACTCTGAAAGAAAAAAAACTGCCAACCAACAATCATATACCCAGCAAAACTGTCCATCAAATATGATGGCGAAATTAGGTCATTTTCCAAACAACAGAAATTAAAAGGATTTGTCGAAATCAGATCAATCTTACAAAAACTAAGAAAAATTGTTCTTCAGCCAGAGAACCAACAAGAGCAGACAACAACCTGAGACTAGCACACATGATTATATACTATATCACCTAGACTCAACCCAGATAAAGAAATAATTTTTAAAAATAGACCTACAAGACTGAAAATAAAGAACCAGAGTTACATCTACAACATCAACAACAAAACATAAA